GAGAGAGAGAGGGAAACCTAGTCGAACACCTTTTTCCGTAGTGAACTCGAACGAAAATTGCAGCAAGCTCGGACTCAGCTTCGGCTGTTAGTATAAAGGGATTGCTGCTATAAAGATATCGTAAAACTGAAATGAACTTCTCGGGCATACCCTTCACAGCAGGGGAGCGCCAGAGTTTACAGCGGTCGACTGAGTCGAAAGCCGCTTTCAAATCGAGAATCTGCCGAAGGACAAAAATGACCCTACCAATTGAACGCCGACTGATATCCCATGAGTGATGCAAACAGGAAAAATCTCAAAAGATTAAGGAGTGAGAAGAAGAACCGGACAGATGAGGTGGAGCAGCAACAGTTTTTTTTTTATCACACATCCACGTGTGATGAACAGCAGACGAGGCGAACCCCATGCTCACGAGGACCTGCTGTTCAGTGGTGGAAACCGGCAACCTAAGCCCCGGGACTTGGAGTGGCGAACCGCATAGGGCCCCGATAGGTTAGGAGTGGTATTGAACCGGACGACAGCAGANGTGGGGCTCGAATCTCGGACCACAGGGTTTAGTCGCCATCACTGACGTGTTGGACCTTGTGGTCGGAGGTTCGAGTTAGTTACCCAAATTTTTCGCTGTGTTTCAAGCTCAATACATGCTGTTCAAAAAGGGCTATATAGACAACTGATTCTAATGTGACATCGGAGTAGCGGAGGATTTTATTCCATTACATAGTGGTTTTTATGCTGTACCGGGCAAACGAAGCGGGAACTGAAAAGCTAGGAAGTACAGTGCAGCTGTTTCGACTTGATTAGATCTCATCAGCATTGCGAAACCAGCGAAAGAATTGAGGATCGATCGAATACAAGACATAGATGAAGTGCAAGCANCCCACGTAACCACCGTAACCACACAGTATGGCACAACCCCTTTTTGCAAGATTGTTGTTAGTATCCCACCTCGGCCATCTCCACATTATTGTCCAGAATGTGTACCGAACAAATCACGGTAAAACAATCTTTCTAACGAAGAAAAAGGTCCATTTCAAGCTTGACTATATGTTACGTGTGACGGATCGGATTCGAATTTCAGTTAGATCGATCGATTCGCATTGCTGAGGCGATGCAACCAGGTTGCAACGACTGTGTGGTGCCTCACAGCTTTTCAGCACAGGATGAAATTTACTAGGAGCCCAACGCACTGGCTCAACTGATTTTTAACATCTAGCGGCGCTGTAAATGCATGCCTTTTAACTACATCTGATCTGATTGTTAGCGTTAAAGGCACAACAGCAATGGTATGCTCATGATTTAGTATAGGTGAAATGGCAATCGAAAACAAAAAAGACAATAACACCGGCGCCCACAGGTTGGTGCATCAGAGATAGTCAGATACTGTTGGCTAAATGAAAAGAAAAAAGGAATAGAAGGAAAAATAGCTAACGGATGCCTCGGAAAAAATCTAAACTGTATTTAATATATCATATCAGACTGGTATGATCGAACTGCTCAGAGTGTGAAATCCCTGAAATCCAAAATCAGTTTACCTTGGCGTGGAAACGAATAAATTGAGATATTGGCATAACCAGACAGCGACCGATCAACTTGTGAACAGGTATCCCTTCAGTTAAAGCGGTACGGAACACTTCAGCTGTAAGTAAACGTCGCCTGCGTGACGGTCGCGATTCAGAAGGCCGCCAGTACCATGCTATGTACGCCACGACTACCGGTTGGTTGAAATTTGTCGCTTCCTTGGGTTTCTCGCCGTCAGCACCGACACCTGTTGGCGGTTGTGCAGGAAGTTTACGAACCAAACGTATCAGACGGCCAATATGACACTGGGTCACATTTGATCGAAGTGGTTCAACGTAGACAAAATCACCAACCTGATATACCACATTTCGAACCTCCACGTGCTGCAGGGTCAATGAGAAACAAAAACACTAACTTCATCAGCGGTCAAAAAATATTCGAGAAAACCAATGAGTCGGTCAAAATGAACCGCAAGGTGGATTCGGTTATCAGGAGGTAAAAGGAAAGTGAGTTGGGGGCCGCTGAGATCGCAAAAAGAATACGATGGCACAATAAGACAAGGAATTACCCTAGAGAAATGCGAATATAGAAAAATGAATTATTAAACCACTTACGCTTCTTAAAATCCCATAATGAGAACCTTGTTGATCAATGGCAAATTCGCCAATACCAAAAATAAAAGTACTCACTGGAATTTCGACATCTCCCTCCTCCAGTGGTGGTGGAGCACCTTCGAAATGTTCATCACCATGCAGAGTCAACTTATGTCGCTCATCTTCTTCTGCAAGTTCCTTGTCCAATGCAGCACCTGTATATGTCATAGCCGGACTAAGAAGTGCCAAGTGAGTAGACAAAGCCGGGCCTGAGTCTGTCGAACTGCCTAATTGCAAGAACGGGTTGTTTGTTTGTGGTAGTCTTGCTGGTCGATGACACAATTCATCCCTTAAACGAACCCAACGTCGAGCCAACTCGGCAGCATCCAAGCGCTGTTGCACAGTAGGTAATGGATTCTGTACGCCAGATGGTTGATCCTCGCCCTCGCCAATGCGTGCACGTTTCAAAATCCCTAGCCAGTCGGCTTGCAGACGATCTAACCGACGATAGGATCCAGCGGCCACCGCACGATGAAGGGCAGCTAAGCGAGCGGCAGTAACTGAAGTAAGCATAGCTTCAGTTCCGTCCCCGGCAATCAAAGAATCTACAAGTCCACGTCCGTCAGAATCACAAGCAGTCAGCATGGCATTGTGCAGATTGGTCAAAAGACGTCGTATTCCTGTGTTGATATCCGGTGGTAAACAAGGTGGCAGAGCCAAATGTGTGGCGAATGAGTTTAAAAGCACAGCACGCTTGGCTAAGCACACTCGATGCAGAATGAGGGAATCCTGTGAGACAAGCATAACAAAAGAGAACTTGTTTGAAAAGGAGGTTGATACAATGAGTACGAAAAGTTTATTACTTCGCAGAAACATTCAATTCATTTATCCAGTCTGTGTTGGATAAAATAAAGTCCTTACGACCAACTCTATGTTCACAAAAACAGTTTGTTGAAGCCCTCTAACTACCCTAGCCCTGGCCCGACGTAAAACGTCAATTCGCCCACGACCCTTTAACCTAAACTGGAAGTACAATGTGACCTCACCCATGTTGTTTCAACCCTCCTCCCTCTCTTTCCCTCTTTGTTGCTCGGTTCCTTGTTCTAGACGATCTTTCCCAATCACTCTTTACCACATCCGTAGTGTCTAATCAACACATTCATTGACATTATTTGTTGTACATCTGTTCACTTCTTATAAATATAACTGCATTAGCCAGAGGAAGAAGTTATCGAAAATGAGCTTGTTCGCTACACGTGTTGTTCCGTCAATGTTACGATAGGAACCTTCAGTGGAACTAAGAAATATTTCTGAAAACTATCCCGATCGGTCGCAGGGATCTGCTACTAACATGTAGTAATGTATACTCTTGATAAGATAGTCACCAAGGCAAACTGGTTAATTTCGATGTTCAGATAATAAGCAAAACCAGACAAACAAAAACAGACGAAGCTGGAGAACACCCGGGTATGGTAAACCCATTCAGATACCACGAACGACTTGACTGACAAGTAAATTGAATACCATGTTCGAGATCTCCGTAACAACAAACAAACGGGAGACTAAAGGAAAAACACAGGCCAGTTCACTCACCGAATAGATCTGTGAATCCGGTTCATTGAAGCGACATGCATTATCAAACATGAGAAACAAATCAGAACTGAAATCCTCNNNNGTATAGCGAGATTGAACAATCTGTTTGGCCACAACTGCTAGCTCGATCGGTTTCTTGATGAACTCGTAGTACGTAGGCAGCTCAGTCCGAGTGGGCAAGCGCATGAATGGATTTGACAACTGACGACCACCAACTTGATATTCCCTGACAGTTTGAAATAACTCCAAAATCACCCGTTGCAACAGCGGCATACCCGGCTGGGTTGAGAGCGGTGCATGTTGTCCAGATGGTCCAGCTCCTTGTGGAACAAGAATGCCAGATGGCAGAGCTTGACCATCAACGCCGACTTGACGACTATGGAGAATGAACATATGCGGGATTGATGTAACTGAGTGACACACATCACCAATAAAACAGTCCATAAAGTGGTTGTTTTAAGATAGTCGCATATTTCACATGAAAGTAAAAGTTGCATAATGATGGGTATTGATGTTAGTGGACATATAAGTAGCAGTGGATAAGGACGCAGTGTCAGTCACTAGTACTGAGCATCTAACTATTCCCTTCCCGCTGTGTAATTTCCTACTTCAGTTGTGGGAGAGTAAATATCCAGGTACATTCGAAGTGAAGGATTCTATTTGGAGAAATCTATAGCTGGTTTCACTTCGGTCAAACATTATATATATATATATATAATGACGAATTACCAGAATAATCGGAGCAGTATCCACAATCAAGAAGGAAAAGCAGGATATGAGTACCAGTGACTGAGAAAACGAGAGAAACGCTTCAAAAACAATGAAAATATACTGAACCCTGAGTCAAGAAATGATTGGAACGATTGCAGCCGATCCTCTAAGTTGCACTGAAGATAATGCCGAGCTTGGCTACGAAACGTCTGCGAACAACACTTTTAGCTCGGAGAACTCGCCAACACCAACACAAGCGTCAAGAGTTTTGTTCACTGATAGGCTGGTGACCTAACCCTATCAAAGACCAACTCGCTGCTGATGTCAGCATAAAACTGCAGCACGACAAGCTAGCACAATCAAACTGATTAACATTGTAAACAAAGAGTGAGGTGTAATGTGAATGGTAATGAAAAGCATATCTGAAAAAAACTGGAAAGGTAATTCTAGTCAGCCCCGGTGTGAGCTGGTTGGTGCACTAAGAAAACATCTTCGGCGTGAGGGTTGAAGAGTACGAATCCCGGACAGAATGGTAGAAATACACTACTGATAAGCTCTAACAAGAGCAAAACTGGAGCCTGAGAACTCACAGGGAGAAAGCAAGCATACTTTGACAAAATGAATATCGTCAGTTAGGTGAATGCGCATAAACATACAATGACTATTCTACACAGGTAGCAAACATGAACCTCTGCAGCGAATTTATTTTCCAACAGTAAAGCTGTTCAGCGATAACACGGATTAGCCGTAAGCGAATAGACGATCAATTACAATCCAAAGGATGAGAAAAACAAATGTTTGGTGTAGAATAGTAAAAACTTTCCATCAGTACTCACGGTACTGACAAAAACTTTTCTGGTTAAACGAGTGCAACACACGGCAAACCACGGCACATGACGGTAGTGACCACGCGAGATGAGAAATAGATAGATGAAAACAACTGGTGCTAAACACGCAGTGGTTCAACCCTGACAGAGAGACTTACCGTCCGGATCGGCCACGGCCGGTAAACCTGCTGAAACCGAAACGTCTTCACAACAGACGGACGAATAAATAAACAGGCGGATATTATGTGAACGTGAATACGGGCACAGAATAGAAGAAAAAATCTCATTAACATCCATAACGTGAAAACTCACTTCGGAACAGAAGAAACTCGGTTCGGTTTTGGTTTGTTTGGATTTCCTTGATAGGGACCCAAACTTTTTAGACGACGTTTGACCACGTTCTCCAGAATTATGGCATCATTGTACACTCCGGAACCTTCTTCATTATAGTGCCGAGCGTTGTTAAACATTAGACGCAAATCTGAAACCATCTCTTGATGTGCAGAATACTGGTAGTATGACAGATTGTCCAGAAACAAAAAAAGGATTAACTTCGTGACATTCATCTGTACAAAATATGACACGGATAAAACGAACATTCCAAATGACTTTGTAAAATAACCGCAAACACACGAGCACAGTGAACAGCTGCGGTTTCAGTAATGCTAATCTAAATACCATTTAGTGAGCTTTGATGGACTTACGTGGTTTTCATCCATTTTACGCTTGATCATTGTTAGATCGATCGGTTCGGGGATAACTTGGTAATAGTCGGGATATTCCTCTCTGGACGGGAGATGAATGAACACATCCCGCGGACGATGGCCATCTTCCTACAGTATGAGGGGAGCAGATGGAAAACTTAAATAGGAATCTCTATACACAAATCAGCTCAAATTGCACTGTTTAGTAACTTGCTGGGTGTTTCTATTCTCCTTTGGTGGACGCAACCGGGAGAGGAAAAGTTTATGATTGTTGGCTAAATTAGTACAACAGTTAACGAAAGGCTTACGGTTCATGAAACAAGAGTGAATCTAAGTCTGTTTATAAGTGAACAAAAAATGTCACTATGCACGTTCGGCAGCCCTGAAAACCAGAAAAGTCCTTTACTTATTTAGTGGAAAATCATGAATAATATACGACCATCGTTTGACTTCTGTAGCGAAGGAAAGTCAAAGAGAAGCTTATAGAAATTAGGACAAATGAGAACTACCACGAGGGGCAGTTCCCGTAATTAAGTGCACTCAGACAAAAGGCTTAAAAGAAGTTATTATATGGGCCGTTCAAGCAAACCCGACAGGAATCTGTTATCCCGCATACTTGACACTGAAACGAACATCGAAACACCGCATACTTTGTATGGTCATGGTATGTTAAAGCTACTTTACATGTGACCTAAACTCTAAATAGCATGCTCGAAACGAAAAATCCTTGCTTATAAAAAAATCGCACCTACTAGGTTTATCCTTTTCCTCACCTGAAACCATGACGACAGATGAGGCGATCTGGTTTTACGATGTCAACTAAGGCTGAGTCATAATGATACATGAGAAAAGGACAAACAAAGGCATAGCCTATATTAAGCCACAGCACAAAAAGGTCGTATGATTAGATCGAGAGCCATTCACCAGTGATGGTTACAGTACCGATTACTTTTCCTACCGAAGTAGCTGCATGACCAATGACGGTAGCGCAGCAAAAGAGATAGCCGCTCGCATTTCCAAGTCTCGAGTGGCATTCGCAGGACTGAAACACCTTTGGCGTAGACGCGACGTTTCACAGAAGTTGAAAGGTCGTGCATGTTGTGCTGTCGTTCGTTCAGTTCTGCTTAATGGTTGTGAGACCTTAAATTTGCCAGTAGATATCCATCGATTAGAGGTTTTCGATTATCGGTGTTTACGCAGTTTAGCCCATTTGGGACAGAGCGACCGGGTTAGTAACGTGGAGATAAGCGGACGTGTGTTTGGGAGTCTATCAGGAATAAACCTGGTAGCACATCGAATTCAAACTAGTAGACTTTGCTGGCTGGGACACATATTTCGTACATCCAGCTACCGTCTGCCGCACCGCGCTCTATTCGCTGTAGCTAATCCGGGATGGAGGAAACTGCGTGGAGGTCAACAGATGACGTGGAGACGAGGCATGAAGAAATGCACAGAGCCATTAGGTAGAGTAGGTGTCTTTCACCTTCCGCGTTGGGGTCCGAAAGACTCCACAACTGGTTGGTTGGAGACATTGAAGGATATGGCATCGACTCGACAGCAATGGCGTTCTTGTTGTCATTTCTTATCAGGCCAGAACACTTGAAACGATATGTATGCAGAGTTCGATTGTGTACTCCGTGTGTTAACCATAGTGGTACACCCTCTCCCTCCCTTAAAATGGATTCAATCCCTGTCCATTTTAAATGTTACCACTAACCTTGTATGCACTGCGAGTTTGGCAGCGATCATTGAAGTTCGCCTCACTATATTTTGCTGTACGATGATGATGATCATGATGATGATGACCAGTAATGAGAGAGTTCGTTTGACAATAAAAATAAGAAAAGCAAAAGGGATGTGAGTGGGAGAATGCGCATAGACACCAATCCTGGCAAACTCCGGTGAAAATTAGCTATAAATTCGGAGACGAATCAGATCATTCCTGATGTAAAAAGCACAAACTCCATGTTTGTGGCTGGCGACATAGCTGATACACGTGAGGAATATACTGCCAGTGTGAAAGTAATATGTCAAAGACAATTCACCAGTTTAAGTAATTTCTTGAATCCAGTATCAACAATTAGTGAATGGGTCGGTTTAGAAAGTAGACATGCATATACGTTCAAAAAGTGATCCAATTAGAAAGACCTGGAAAATAAACTGAAGGAGAAAAAGAGAAACAAATCAACATTCACAGAGTGGATTGTCAGTTTCAGTTTCAATTTTTACAACCATTAACCATGCACTTTTGCTCGCCGGTTTCAATTGCCGTCTTTTGGCCGCCCATTTGGATAAAAGAGCTGAACGAAGATTGGATTAGCACAAAATTGAAAACTCTTCAAAGGAAATTTAGGACCATAGTCAAAATGACACAAAGAATGAGCTCACAGAACGCAAAAAAAAACAAGAAACTCACAGCCACATAGTTGAACACAGTGTTGAAAAGATTGCGCAACCGTTTGGCTTTAGCCTCTTCAGCTGTCAAAGTCTTACGACCGAATTTACGAAATGGAGTATTGTCACCGGTGGAGCTCGAAATCAAGCTGTCGCCTTGATCAGGAGAAATAACTGTGGAACATTCTGAGTTCAACGGAGGCAAACGTTTTGATGGCTAAAATATTTTTAAAAATGATACAATAATGGTGATAGGATCGACGATCATAAACGGTATACTACTGTATGACTGTCCATAAACGATGAGATAACGAACCTACCCCACTACACACCATCTTAAGTCGATGCCAGTTTCCTTAGTCCAATCAACTTAAATCAGCAAGCATCAACAGGACGTCATCTACTGTCCTTTGAAATTCTAAGGCTTGAATAGTAATGGAAGGTCACCGATTGATGCCCAGCGAAACCATCTGAGATGTTATCCGGTAGTGAGTGGAGAGTGGAACTTGAAAAATACTAGATCGCTGGCGTATTTATCGACGAATACGCTTCGGTCGCTCAATACACTACGAAATCCACTATTATAGTCTAACCAAATTGTCCACTACTCCCAGTTAGCAAAAGGGTACAAGCATTTCTGCTATAAAATGCTTTTACCAAGAAGGGTATTCCGGTTTCCGGACTAGCAGAGGTCCTGGTTTCAGACTCGACCACAAAATCTTTAGTTCACAAAAATAATGAAAATTTGCAAGTATTACAAATGAAAACACGCGGTTTGCTACATGAATTGGTTTAAACGGCACAAATTTTGAATCACGATGAGACCTTGGTCTTGCACCAGGGCTTATGAAGCTGAGGCAAGAAGATACGCAGGATGTCTTTTGTCAGGCCAAACATTTAATTATGCCTGAAAGGTCGAAGGGCAGAGGTTGGGCAAAACCCAGCCCTACATAACTACTGCGAAGTGACTGTGAGTTGAATGCGAATTTAATTGTATTCTATTGGGTTTGTGGTAAAATTGTTTGAACCTGCATACAAGTCCCGATTTGATGGGAGGATTTCGAATGCCATTACCAGATAGATAGTCTCCTCTCATTGCTGTCGGGCCTAGTTAACTGACTGACCATCATTAAACACAACATTTGAACAAACATAAACTCACAGTTCTGATCAGCACCCGGGATGAACTGATCTGCAGAGGTAACACATACGTTCCATGCGATGGGCCGGAGGCTTAAAGTGCGAGTGGGACGGTGGATATGCACCACTGATGAGCTCTAGAGAGCGAGAAACTCCAGCCTAGAGCTTCCGGAGTGTGTGGTGGGCTGGATAAACTAAGAATTCTACGTAAAGAATTTTGAATGGTGATCACCCCACATTAATATAACTTACCCTGCACCACTACTCAAAGAAACTGGGAGTTGAAAGTCCCCTGATTGGCAATTCCATCAGTAAAAATGATGGAAGAGTAATCGATCCAAGGAGATTGCCATCCTTCGCCTTAACCACTACTTTATGGTTGGATTCTTGCCGGAACTTTAATCGTTCTGCTTGACGGTTGTACTCACCGCCAGTACCCGTCCATAAAGCCCCAATGAACGCAAACTAAAAATAAATCCATACTGCATTGGTCGATGCGCAGAATAACCAGGACCCTGTTACCCATCGCATAGAGCGGGATAAGTAGTGATAAGTGGGTCCTAATTCACAAAAGGGTGAATTGTACGATAAACTCGCAGAAAACATCTAATTCAGCTGCAAATCTGTTTCATTCGTGCTGATAGATGATCTAAACACGCAAGTTGGAAAACTGAGCGAATCCTTAGTCTGGTAAGGCGCTTCGCTCTGCCCGTTTAGTGAACAGACAGCAACCGTCGACCAGTTCTGCGTGGAACACTGATTGTTTTTGCTTAGCCCCAACTATCGAAACAAAGCTCGACGAGCGGCAAACGCTATTCTAGTTCAAAAGACATGCAGACCCGAATTGGTCACACAGCTGAGCTACCGTTGGTGTGACTCAAGAAAGCTGCAGGTACTATTAGACCACCTACGTTGAGTCTGAGTATGTACTAGTTATGATGTGCTTTATGTTTAGACTCACTGGTCATCGACAAAAATCGCAGCTCTGGGTAGCTCATCTTCTTCTGTACCATTCAGATGTTTTTTACACGTTATGAGGAAAAGCTTGGGCACGATCTAGGAGTGCGGAGATAACCAGTAGAGTCAAATAAGACAAGCAGACTATGCTTGTTGATAGGAGCCCAACATTCGTGTCAGACATTGGAGCTCTCAGGAGTGAAAGATTTCTATCTACTAGGATCAATATAGGAGTAGATTACGTTAGTACGGTTACACCGTGTATTGCAGCGGAAGATCCGTGGGCGGTAACCTGTGAACCCCCTACAGAACCAGAAGTACAATGTGATATCCAAGTGCTAAAGGAGGGAAAGGTAATCAGTCCTGATGAGCTTCCCCAATTATTTTAAGGACAGGGTTGATTCTTTCATCGACTGTATTACTGGCTTACAGCACAGCGTGTGGTCGGAGGGTTGCATCCCTTCATTTTGCAGCGAATCATTAGTCGTTCCGATTTCCGAGAAGAATTCAAGCGATGACTGCGCAAACCATCGCGGGATAAGTTTAGTTTCAATCATCTTTAAGGTGTTACCTTTCGTGATACTTCACTGCCTGGCATCGTATCGGCCAAAGCTTGATATCGCATCGAGCCCTCGAGTTACGCCACATCAACTGTCGATTAACAACCACGGTGTTCCTTGACATCCAAAGGGGCCTTTGTCTCAGTGAACTATGAAGCCCTAATGAGTTCACTTCGTCACAAAGGAATGCCCCAGAATAATGCTAACTTATTGAGCCCGCTATACTCAAGGGTATATGGCGAGCTAAGCAGATCGTTCGAAATAAACAATGGTATTTGTTGAGGATGACCGATTCTGCGATTCCTGATCAATTTCGTCGTAGACGAAATACTGGAGAACGCACTTAGTGGTCTCCGAAATGTTGATATTGAATAGGCAGTTGGGGAAACGCTGCGTGATTTGGAGTACGGTGACGACATCGTTTTTCTGTCCTAACGTATGGAGGGTACGCAAAGTGCTCTTGACAAATCGGCAATTTCCAGGCTCTATGCGGTATGCGCTTTGCACCCTCAAAGTGAAGTCATACTGAAAGACTAGGGGCTTCGACTAGTCCCGCTTTGAAAGTAAATGAACAAGAATTAGTAACAGTAAGTGGCTTCTCTCGCCCAGGTAGCTGCATGACCAACAATCACAGCGTAGAAAAGGAGATAACCGCATGCATTGCCAACGTTCAAGGAGTATACCTAAACTGAAACACTTTTGGCTTAGATGTGACGGTTCTGTGAAATCGGAAGCTCGCGCATAATGCGCCACTGTGTGATCAGTTCCGTTCTACGATTGTAAGTTCACACTCAAAGGACAGGCATCGTCTATAGGTCTCCTACCGTTAATGCTTACGTTGTTTGGAGATTGGATGGAATGAGCGCGTAAACAACAATGAGGTAAGCCAACGAGTATGTGGGAACGATTCAGTGGATGATTCGTTATTACATCACGCCTAACCTAACGGGGCCTTATGTGGTTCGCCACTAAGAGTTATGAGGCTTACGTTCCCGGTTTTCATCATTAAACAGCAGAAATCCACCCCGTCTATTATTCACCAAACAAATGTATAATAAAAAAAAATTTAGCTTAGCATGATCCTTTGGCTACATGTTTTGCGCATGACCGGTTGTCGCTTGTCACATTGCACCTTATTCGCTGTAGCTGCTCCGGATTGAAGATAACCACGAAAAGGTCAACAGATGACGTAGAAGCGAAGCGGTAAGAAATGGACAGATTGATCAGGTAGATGATTGTCTGCTATCTCCCAGTTTGGGGTCCAGAGAAGTGTTGCTTGGGGACACTGAAGTACATGACAGCGAACCGACAGCAGTGATATTCTTGTTGAAACTTATTATCAGAAGGAAAACAGAGCTTGTCTGATGGACAAACTTTTGTTTTCGTAAAAATAACTACATCCTCGAAATAGCACGAACATTATAATGGGTCTTACAGCTTTAATAATCAATTACCTTGAGTTAACTTGATAAAAGCAATCGCGAGTATGTCAACAAAGATGTTTCAACAACATCGATAGGAACATGACGAAGAAACAGAGCACGTATTCTGTGGTTCCGTTTTAGCTAGTCCCCATCCAGGGAACCTAACGCGACCTAAATGACCGGGTTTCCTGATTAGGACTTTGGTCACCCTTGGCTTTTTTCACCCACTAACTGTCTCGGCAAGCATCGTGCGCTGTGGCAACCCCCATCCGCCTCTAAGGATCAGAACCAATGCGTATGTACGATGATCAAAGTGTGAGCAAAATCGAATCGTGGAACTAGAAGGCAGATTATTATTCTCCTCATTTTGTCATTCTCCTCCCTCCCCATTAAAATTTTTAACATAAATTAAGATGTATTAGCCTGTAGATGAATCACCGCAAACGAGTGTGTTCTTCTTATAATGTGTACAGATGGCTTATTCGGACAAATATCGACAAGCCTAAAACAGTAACTGCCTTTCCAACATTAACTGAAGTGAAAAAAATCAATTATCAATAGCGAAAGCATCGAACTGTCATCGGAAACTCCTCAAGGAAAAGCGAACAAAGAAACCAATGAGGCATACACATACCGTCGTCTGAAACCCGAGCATTTCGTGATATCGACGTCGGGCGATCTGCTGAAGGACTAAGGAGTCTCGGTGAATCATGCTTTCCTCAACATTGTATTGTTGCGCATTTTTGAAAACCAAATCCAAATCAGCCAATATTGAATTCAAGGTGGGATACTCATTTTGCTAGAAAAGTAGGTATTGAAGACATAAGCACGTTTAGGTTTATTTCGGACTTACCTTAAGCTTCTTCTTGATATCACCCAAACTAATCGGATGAGTTATTTCTTCATAGTAGTCCGGGTAGATTCTGAAATATAAAACCGAGAACTTTAGAAGGAAAGTCAAAATAAAAATAAGCATATATGGTGATAAGCTATTATAAAAACGCCTGACCTAGCGGGGCTTTATGTAGTCCGCCACTCCAGATCTCGGTGCTTAGGTTACCATCACTAAACAACAGATCTTCGTGATCATGGGATTCACCCTGTCTGCTGCTCATCACACAAATGTGTCATAAAGAAGTCGATAGGAGAGTAGGCGAAGGTCTGTGGAGTGTCGTAAAGCATCTCCTAGGAAGGTTTTACTTAGTGAAATGAAGTGAAGTGTGAAAGCGGAAAGCCATCCGAGTATGCATCTGGGATGACAAACCACTTGCGGCTAATTTATTTAAGGAAACTGGAAACATCATAATCATAATCATCGTACAACGAAATACAATGGAGCGAACGACACTGATTGATGCCAGACTCGCAAAGCATACAAAATCCGTGGTAATATGTAACGTGGAAAGGGATTGAATCTACTTTGAGGGGGGGGGGCATCTCCAAGGTCAACACAAAGAGTGTATAATTAGATTGTGCGTACATACCATGTCAAGCATTCTAGTCTGCTAAGAAAGGATAACAAGAACGCCACTGCTGTCGGTCCGATGCTATATCCTTCAATGTCTCTAACCAACCAGTTGCAGCACCGCAGCTGCGGCTCCATGTTGGAAGCAATCGCGTGGAAGTCAACAGATAACGTGGAAACGAGGCATAAAGAAACGCATAGAGCGATTAGGTAGAATAGGTGTCTTTAGTCTTCCAGGTTGGGTTCCAAAATACGCTGCAACCAGTTGATTCGATACACTGAAGGATATGACGACTAACCGACAGCAGTGGCGTTCTTGTTGTCGTTTCTTATCAGGTCAGAATGTTTGAAAAGGTATGTATGCACACTTACATTGTGTACTCTATGTATTGACCACAGAGGTTCACCTTTTTTGCCTCCCTCCGATTAGGTTCAATCCCTCCCGATCTTGTGCTTTATCACTTGATTTTTGTAGATTGTGAGAATGGCAGCGATCAGTGAAGTTCGTTTCACTGTATATCGCTGTACGATGGTGATGATGATGATGATGATGAGTCTTTTGGATGTCAACTTGGAAGGTGCGAGACACTTACTTTCCCTAACAGCTCCGTGCACATCTTCATGCCTCGTTTCCACGTTACCTAACCCGTTCGCTCTATCCCACGCGGGATAAACTACGTAAACACCGATAATGGAAAACTTCTGGCGGATATATATATATATATATATATATATATATATATACAGAGCCAATGAAGAGACCAGATTATCTGCTATTGTTTCGGTTATGTTGGTTGTGACTATAGCTTTTCTTGAAAATTCCTGATTGTGTCAATTTTATTTAGATTCACCTTAGTTACAGTGGATAGCAGTCTAGCATTTTTGCTCCATAATTCATGCATTACGTTTGGAATCGTAAATTTCTTATGGTTTTAATTATAAATGATCTATGTGGATTAAGAATACCAAACGTAACTTTCGACATACAACAAACTTCCAATCTGGACCGAGTACGAGCCACTGATATTCCGAGCTCAAATCAAGGGAATTACATAGAGGAACACTAGCCCTAATAGAATAAACCGCGTTTAAAAACATCGTTGCACGTTGAGAGATTATTCCACAGAGAAGACCCGCAAATTAAACAGTTCTGCGTTTCTCGTTGAACTACTCATAAGTAGGTTGTACCTAATGTCCAACTGTGGGTGGAAACTGAGCTGCTTTCTTGTGCCCGAACGAAAAATGGTTCCTGTTCTATTCAAAAGTGCACAAAGGACAACAAAAAGGCCAATAGTAAAAATGACACCCGATTCAAACAGACTAGAAATCTAGACGAACTTAGTTATCAGTCCTAAATGAAACTTCCTGAAAAAATGAACAGGAATTTTTTCCTGATTTTCGTCACGTACTTGCGAGAAGGCAATCGTAAAAATGGAGCGCACATCAAATGACCCGCCTCGTTGCGTGCGTCTAAAACAGCCTGAAGAACTTGAGCTTCGCGCCACCGAACCGTGCCCACACGATAACGAGACACTCCAGCCGACTGGCACGGAATGGGAGTCGAACCCAATGCAGGAGGAGTACTGGTTGTGGCTACGCTTGCAGTGCTCAACGGCTGGGGAGACCCTGGTAGCGATTGACCTGTTTGCGTTGGGCTACCAACTGTGATAGACTCTTTGGAAGTACCAGGGCTGTTCAAATCGATCGGTTGGGGGTTCTTTGGTGGACGGCCACGTTTTCGCTTTCCAGTTGATGAATTGACTGAAGAACAACTTTGAGATGTTTCAGTGGCCCGAGTATCCTCTTCATCCTCTGTGCCTGAAGCTGTTGCGCTCAGTCCTCGGTTCAACATTTGGTCACGCTGAACCAGCTCAGCCTCTTTAGTTGGTGTTTCTGGTAGTGAAGCATACTCCTCAACCACTTCGTGTGGGTTAAAACTTAACCGCGAAGATCGCCTGGTAGAAATGAAGCACGTTTGTTTGAATAAATGAGTAAAACGCAGGAGTGAAAATTTACTTTTAAACATGAGAATAGTCAATACATTAAGCACGTGGGTGAAACGAAAACAGATGGAAGCCCGATTGCTCAACTAAATTTTGAAAAAAAGCTCAAAACAACTTACTTCCCACGTTCGCGATTGGTTCGAACAGGTGGGTGTTCAGCTTCACTGCGTTTCCCCTTCAGGATTCGAGCGAGTATGGAAGCATCCTAGGAAATGAGAAAAGTCGAGAAATGAGAAATCGACCAAAGAGCAATGTCTCACAATATCAAACAACACACTAGTGATAAATTTCTGCTGGGTCAAAACAAACTGTGAAATTACAACAGGCTTGCAAAAGTAATCCCAAATATTATGGAGTGAATGAGAAAGTTCTGGATGAAAAAATTCTAGGCGTTTTTCGAACTCACAAGATCAAACAAAACATGGAAAATTGGGCAAGACATGAATAGAAAAAGAATAAGAAGAGTGCGCTTACCTGGTAGATCGCTGATCTAGGCTCATTGAATGTCTTCGCATTGCGCGACATCAGCATGAAGTCTTTTTCCAAGTCATCCAGTGTAGAATAGAAGCCAGATTGTATTCGGCGGGCTATCATCCGTAAATCTACGGGCTCTTTAATGACCGTATAGTAGATAGGGTAAAGCTAAACAGAAGAATCGAACAACAGTTCCACTTAGAGGAGATTCATGAACATATAGAACGTTTGCTCTGTAGTGCATTGTACAAAATTCTAGGCTGGTGCCCGTCATACGCAATGGTTATTCCCTATTAAAGACAGGGAAATCGCAGAAGTAACAAACACGCTAAGCAACAGAGAAAAGGAGAAATCAGCTCTGTAGAAGAAATCCACTTCTACACGTCCATTCGATCACACCGAAATGACTAGAGGACAAATAGCCGATGTTCAAAACAAATGACTTACCTCTCGAGAAGGAAGATAAGTAAATGTAGGAGCAAGCAGCCTTCCATCCTCCGTTTGGTACTTCGCAATTGCAGCAAACAGAAGTTCGAACGGACTTTCCGATCCCAAAGAACGCTGACTGGATTCAGTGAGGTTAGTTGCACTTGTTTCCGAAGGAGCCATACGAGAATCGTCCGACGCGGCAACTGAAGCTGACTCCGCCTGAGGTGATATGAAAACATGAATCCAAACACGAGAAGTAAACGGNACAAATTAACGGACTTTTCGTGCATATTCATTATGTAGACTGTTTCTTCTTGATAAGTGTGAATTATGAGGGAAAGGCAACAGTGGCATAACAATTACACCTTCGAGGATGAACAAAGGCAACAGGACGACACTAGCTGGAATGAAATAACTGGAAACAAAAGCATTAGGGAGTTACTGAAAACCAAACAATACCAATCAACAGCGCGCATGACCATAGGCGCAAGATAACGACCAGATAAGAACAATAAACAGTGAGGGGACTTAACGTGACAACAGACCATAGGAGAGACGCTCCGTAATCAATGAACCACTTGTCACAGTTCTGACTCATATCTATGCGTTAGCTCCCTGAATTCGAGATATACACCTGCACTTGTTTTCAATCGCGGACTGTGTTTTAGGATTGTACGATCAGTAAACTAGACCTTAGTTTGCATAAGTCTAATTTAGTGAAAAGGATAGGTGGAATCAGATAACAGTTAACTACTCGGTGGAATCTTCACCGTAGACAGATGAAAGCCCCAAATGGACTGCAAACCAGACAAAAAAGTTTATAAGCCAACCGTTAAATGGATAAAATCACACAGAGTAGATTTGCCTTTTGTAAGGGAGTGATTCGAATTGATGTGCACCGGGTCAAGGTTTCCTAACTGTGTACCCGGAGCAACCAAAACGGGCGCACGAAAGTGCATTGTTAATGGTTGCAAAAACTGAACTGAACTGAACCGGGTCAAGGTTCGAAGTTTGAACTGTGCGACCACCTTGCTGTTATTCTGTTCAATACCGCGCCTAACATAATGAGGCCTTATGTAGTTCACCACTCCAAGTCCCGGGGCTTAGGTTACCGGTCTCCAGCATCGAACATCAGGCCTTTGAGACTATGGGGTCTAACCCTTCTGCCGTTCATCACACAAATGTGATAAAAATTTTAAAAAACTCTGTTGGCAGGCAACTAAGTCGTCGTCCAGCTTAATACGATATACCTATCAACCTGGGCTCTATGAAGTTTGCAACCCCAAGTACCAAGACCTGGAACCCGGAACCCAACAGATTTGCTCTTCTACCGTCCAGCACACTTTTGCGCAATAAAAAGTAGCTTTTTATTTTGACTATTACCTTCTACAGCAGTGAACACAACTTCATAATGAATGCTAAGAAATGGTGCCATGCGAGCAGGACGCTTAATTTACTTCACCAAGACATGAATTTTAGTAAACGAGAGATCAGTAAAGAAGTGTTCGATCACTGATGATCAATTCCACGGGTCGGGTAACGAACTCGCGCCGAAAAACTATCCCATAAAAAGGTGACTCACATCATCCTCGTCCATTTCTTCACGTTTCATTGGGCGTTTGCGATTGCCACGCCGACCAACAACTGAAACGGGTCATGAAGAATGTTGGCTGAAACTAATGCGTTGTAGTCGAATGCTAATTTACGGAATAATAAATGGTGAGATGAATATGTGCCATATCAACAAAGATCTAGTGAGCTACTGTTCACCTCACCGAACGTGATAACGCGTCGTTAGAAAATTACTACCCGATTTCCTGCTGCTCAGTAAGATTGATTCGGTAACGTTTTTGAGCAACTGGGAAAGCTAGTAGCTTGATGCTGCAATACTTAGCATTAATTGAATTGTCGCAACGCACTACAGAAGCACCGTATCAGTAAAAATAACAATAATACAATTAAGCTTACCACTGCTTCCAATGGAACTGGTGGTTGAAGCCGTGCTGGCGGTGGCCACCGCCTGAAGCTTACTTCGTTCGGCTTCAAATACCTCTTGAAGTTCTACAGCTTTTGCAAACTCGGTGGTGGACGCAGGATAGAATGCTTTTGTATTAGCAACCATTAGACTGATATCGGCGGCCATGCTGTCCACATTTTCATATTCACCACCTTTGATTTTGGCTTGGATTCGAGCTAAATCAATAGGTTCACGCACGGCCTCGTAATACTCCGGGTTTGTTCTGATTAACCAAAAAGGGTACAAGGTAAATATGAACGTACGTGAGACAAAACGCAACAAGGAAAAATCATGGTTCACATGCAACATTATCAAGACAGTAGAAGTGACTCTCCTTTCATCCGGCTCACCCCACGGGAGGGGTTATATAATCCCTCATACCAAACCTTAGGATTATGGTTGCTGGTTTCCTTCCCACAACACGAATGACAGATATAACTTACTTTCTCACTGGCTCTACTTACAGACAAAGCACATGTGTACCCTCAATAAAAATTAGAAATTAATTCTGTATACCAAATTCTAAATTCTTCTTCCCTCATCCTATTTTTGACTGAAACATATCTCGTCAAATATCGCACACACTCAATTCCCAAAATAAACTTTCCACCCCTCCTTTCTACCCAGAGCTGATGTTGGCGTCTTCATCCACTGACCACTCGCCGCTTCCAAAGTAGTAAATCTTGACTTTTCTAATTGCAATTTTCAGCTGATGCAGATGAAGCTAATTTCTTACTTTCAATTATTACGTATGTCCTGTGTCATGCCCCAAATAATAGTGACTGCTTCATCGTTGAATTTCTTTCTTCGAAAGTTCAAAGCTTGTTTACGGTGAACCCTAACTGCAATGCTACCATGTTGGAAAATGTCAACATTCATTATCAGGAATCATTGAAACATTCTTCTGTTACTTCCTCTTCAAAGCGCAGTGTCAACCATTTTGCCTTGCTCGCCAACCTGAGCCGGCCAGTTGACCTCCTCACACGAGTCCCTGATCTAGGTAGCAACTAAGCACATACTTAGCTGTGTATGGGATCATCATCATCATCATCATGATACAACGAGATACAGTGAAGCGAACTTCATTGATCGCTTCCAAGCTCACAATGTGCATAAATCAAGTGATAAAGTAACAAGATGGAGAGAGATTGGGCCCAACTGGAGGGAGGCAAAGAAAGTGAACCTCTATAGTCAACACATACAGTACACAAGTGTGCATGCATACTTTTTCAAGTATTCTGACCTGATAAGAAATGACAACAAGAACGCCATTGCTGTCGAGTCGATGCCATATCCTTCAATGTCTCCAACCAACCAGTTGTGGAGTCTTTCGGACCCCAACGCGGAAGGTGAAAGACACCTACTCTACCTAATGGCTCTGTG